GCAAATGCCCCTACGTCCTGGGAGCGAGGGCTGACAGCGCTGAAGCCCAGCGTGTCCAGAGGTACCCTGTGCTGCCGGCGTTGCTCCGGGGTGGGATCCAGCTAAGCTGGCAGCTCCTCGAAGCTCTGCTTGCAGTCTGTCCCGGGCGAGGGGAGTGAGGAGACAGGCTGCTCCCTTGCCCCTGGCTGTGCGTAGAGCTCCAAGACACAACGCCCTACAAAGTGTGATATAACCGCTGTGGGTCAATGGGGTCCCACATCGTCCCATGCCAGAGGGACGCTCCAGTGCATCCCTCCCAGGAGGTAACCCGGAGGAGCCCGCTGCTCCCAGAGCACGGTCCTGGTGTCCCAGGACCCCACTCGCAGGCTAGATGGGGACAGGATAGATCCGTTGTGGCTGGGGCTGCATACGGAGAGCCTTACCGGGGGCCGTGGCACTGCCGGGGGAGGGAGGGCAGCGGGGAGAGACCTCCCCGGGTGGTGGTGGGAGCTGGATCTGGCCCAAGCACGAGGGCACATCGTCTCCAAGATACAGTGGCTTGGGGGAGCTTTTCCTAAACAAAGAGCATTATAAGGGAGCCACTGCTGGAAATTTCCATTCCTTTGTTGGGTAGATGCTGTGTAAATAAATGCATTCCTAAGATTTTTCATAATCCTGGAAAGGTCCGTAAAAGAAACTGTACAGACTGACAAATCGACGGAGTTCACATATATTATTCCTCAGCTGCTGGGAACACGATATGCAAAGCTTTTCCTAAACAAAGAGCATTATAAGGGAGCCACTGCTGGAAATTTCCATTCCTTTGTTGGGTAGATGCTGTGTAAATAAATGCATTCCTAAGATTTTTCATAATCCTGGAAAGGTCCGTAAAAGAAACTGTACAGACTGACAAATCGACGGAGTTCACATATATTATTCCTCAGCTGCTGGGAACACGATATGCAATGGCACAGAATATAATGCAAGAAACATATGCTAAAGGTCCTCTAAGAAGCACTCTGCGCATTCGTATGTGGCATGTACAGACTTTTCTTCTGTTTTGCCCCATGGGATCTAAAATATTCAACCCTTATTACAGCTCGGGTGTGTGAATGACTTAGCTTAACTCTAAATAATCCTCACCTGACAGGCGACTTCGGTGGCAGCGTTTAGCTCCCTATTCCCTGGTTTAATGGGTGGGTGCTTTGAAAGCATTTATAAATTAGTACATGAGATAAATGTGCAAGCAACCTCTTACTTTACTCTTCTGCTTTTCTTTCTGTCTGAATTTTATTTAAAACAGACAATTCAGGAAGATCCCCTTACAATAATGATATTGTGCCTGATGCATTTACAAGTCGGTAAATGCAAAAATGTATTTTTGATGTCTGTCTTTCTTGTCATATATGAACACTAACTACATACAGAAGAGATTATATTCCTATATCCAGTGTATTGGTCATGTAAACGCAGGAGATGCTTACATAGTACCTTCAATGACAGAAGTCAGATCTTTTTCTTGAAATAAGCTCGTAGCTTCTCCCACTAACTCTGCCCCCTTGGACTCAGTCAATCTGGATTTATAAGATGACTTCCCTGTTTAATGCAGTACAAATACTTCAGAAGTTTAGAAGAAAAACTGTCCTTTAGACTACCAGCACAATGTTTATTACCCTTCTTTTGCATTTTTGAACACACTCTGACATTTATCTTATATTTAGATTTTCCCAACAGCTACCTCTGCTTTCTTTAGGATGAATTTTTAAATTTTTGGAAATCATATCCTGTAGTAATGTGATTCTACTGGAAAAATATTGAAACAATACAGAAATAATACTTTTCTCTTTAAGCACTTTGCATTTTTAGATCTCAAAGTTATAGACAAAAAAGAACACTTAAAAAACAGTTGTATAAAATACAAACTGTACTTTTTTGACATTTGTCTTTTAATTGTCCAAACCACAATATTATCATTTATTTCCTAGATATGCTGTTTTTCAATCAGATTACAAATATAAAAAAAAAAAACCCACAACCGAAACAACCTAGAAGCCAAACCAAAACAATCCTCCTAAACAGGACCATCTCGGTAAGGTAAGCCCACATACTTTCAGCTAGCTAGTTAGCTCTCTAAATTCTTTCTGTTTGGACACTGCCACAGCATCTCCAATTCTGCAGTGCTCATCTGAGATCCTAATTTTTCCTGACCTCAGTACTCACATTTAGGGGCTACTGTGTCAAAGCATTTCAGCCTCCAGGATGAAGAAGCCTGGTTCAACCTTCCCTCAAAGACAGATTATTACAGTAATTGTAGCTCTCAAACTGGAATAAATTATAAAAGCTTATTACTGTATTTTAACATAAAATATTGTTGACTGCTGGCATCAAACTTTAAACCCAATTAATAACAAACTACGATCCCAGAGACTGCAGACCAGTAACTTATCTACCACACAAACAGCCGCACAAATCCCTCACATTTATTTTTTCCAGGCTTTCAACTTTGATTAATAACATGGCAAAACCATGCAATTCTCAACCATATTAACCACAGCTATATTTTCAGTCTTACTGACATGAACACTTTAATGTAATAAAAGGAAAAGGAAAACAGAAGAGGTGTTTCATTAGGACACGAGGATTACTAAAACCACTGTGTGGAGTATTTGTCAGGAGGTGGCAGGGGAAGAGTTATTACTTACATTTTAGCGTGTCTCTAGGACACAGAGCAAGAGGCTCCCTCAGTGAGAGATGTTTGCTTTGGAAAAAAAATTAAGTAATCAGACCCTCCAAGCTCTTCTTACTGACACACTTATAATAGCAAATTGCAAACTCGGTTAAGAAGTTTGCAACACTACATGGAAAACTATTTTTCCAATTTTGTTATGAAGCCTGGCAATACGGCAGTGATACAGGATCCAGAAGTTCACATATTAACCTGCCAGTCCTTTTTTATTGATAGACAGCTACATGCAAAAATACATGAAGCATGCAACCTGGTTGGTTAAAAAAATAGCCCAAACCACAAACCCTCAGCAAATCTGTTCTTGCATCTGATTATAGAAGCTTATAACCTATTTTAAAAGCATTCATTAAACAAACCTCAACATCCCCAAAACCCAAACAAAACCCCTCTGAATGGCTGATATAAGCAAGAAACCAACATTATGTCAGTAAAACAACAGCTTCAAAACAAACCTAAAGACCAACGCTTGCCTGACACAGAATTTTTCAATATTAAATGTGTTTGGCTTCACGATTGTGTGATACTGGGACTAGAGTTAAATTTAGTCCAGTCTCCTCGTCGATTGTTCATATGACAGGGGTATTCCTTAGAGGAGTTTCTGACACTAAATTCAGCTGAGTGAATAGTAGTATACACACCATAAACATAAATAATATTTGGCTGAGTATGTAATTTGGCTTTTTTCTTTCTGCATCTACCTGCCTACATGTTTGCACCAGCAGAATGTTTATAACGATGCCTTTTGTATGAGAGCCAAGCTTTGTAAATTGGAATAATGGGCAAAACCAGTCACATATTTTCTATTTCTAAGTCGTTTGCATGAAGACAATTACATTTTGAAATCGAGAGAACAGAACAAAGAGATACAGGCATACAGCATCCGCATAGTGACCCTTGAAATAACTGCTCAGGACAGCACCCAAATATCGTGGTCATGGACGAATTGGAAACAGCCAGGTACCGCAGAGGGAATGCAATAGCCTAGCAAAGAGAAGGGCAGAGCAATAGCAAATACCTTGTCACACTTTTACCCTCAGATGAAAGCATCAGTTTTGCCTTGACCTTTTCAGCATTTCTAACACACATCATCTGCGGTATCAGAAATGCAGGGGAATGGGGAAGGCACACACCCCAATGTATTTCAGCCTGCTAGGAAGTGAAGAAACGTACAGAAAACCTTTATATGGCACTGGGGAAAGTGAGACCCTATGCACAGCCTTATATACGAACTTCACTAGCAAAGAGATTTGTCTCCCACTGGAATGCCACACAAGCACACGGAAACCGTTCCCGCTCATCTGCACTCCCCGTTCCGACAGTGGGACTTTGCTTTTTAACTAGCCTGAGCTTGGCTGCAGCTAAGATAAACATATTTAGCTGCAACTTTTTTTTTTTCTTTCAAAAAGAGGCAAACTGGATTATAGCAAATAACCTTTAAGATAATTAACTGACAATGCCGCAACTAGCATAAAATCTTCCTTCAGGCGACCCCTAATTTAAGTATTACTGGCACAAAGTGGAGACAGATTGTGCATCACCACCGCAATATTTACATAGCAGAAACCCACAGAGCAGGAAACGTGAGACTCAATGATGCACTAAATTAGGAACAATCATATTCTAGTGTTAATTTGCTTTCTCCTCTATCCAAATTTCAGGTCCAGCAATTGGTACAAACGCACATAAAACATTCCCATTTTTAATGATTAAGAACCACAATCTGCAAGCAGTTCTGCTCAAAAGCAAATTCACTCACTACGAGGGATGTTTGCAGGATCAAACCCCCAAAAGTGAAACAGGTTTTCCAACATCGAGATTTTTCAAAAAACCAAGACTTCCTAATCTGTTTCTTTCTTTCCATAAATGATGTCTGTACAAGCAGTCTGAGTCATCTGCCAGGCTACCTGCCTTTTGATTGCAAATATTTTCCTATGACAGCAGCACCGTGATTCTGCGGCATAATGGAGGAGCGGTTTTAATTCACTGAGGCTGTAGATATACGCAGGTGCTCAAAAGGCTGCGTAATCAAAGAATTAAAGTTAAAACAGGGAGGGGGGGAGAAAAAGATAGCTGGTCTATTTGTAAATCTATTGGGCAGTGACACATTTATAATAAATACACACTCTACAGTCTATCCAGACACAGATTTCACGAGCACTACTCTCAGTTACAGCACACTTCATAAGATAAATGCAAAGCGCCATCACCAGTCTTTCTAAATCTTAAATGTTATTCAAATTTGGTTTCCACTATGACATATTAACAAAATATTTACCTTGCCTAATCGCTGATGTTCTTCGAAAGCAGAAATCAGTTCTTGTGCCCACTTTATTTTTTCAGGGCTCGGAGAGAACTGTTCCTGGACAACCGCAATTTGGTTGGGGTGAATCACCTGCTTACCTACAAAGAAGATTAATAACATCACAATCATGCATCGACAAACAGATGTTCAAGCAAAATGTTCCAACCACTTGAGGCTCTCATATGCCTCACAGACTTTCTTGCTCTTTAACTAATTATTTTACTTGGTTTCTTTTATTTTTTAAACTGGACAACAGGCAGATAGCCTTTTGCCAGATTTTTTAAAGAATAAAAATATCTTGAGCTATGCTTGCATTCAATATCGTTTGAAAGAACCCATGATTCTTTCTCCTCCCTCTCCATTTCAATCCATAGATCTTCTCTTAGTCATTTCAGGTGCAATTGTTTGTCCTGGGCAGTCAATAACACTTAAGTATAATGCATCGCCGAATTTAACTATATAAATAACAGCTCCAGCCACATATAAATAAGTTGTATTAAAACGTGTTCAGAAAATGAGATCTGAAGAAGGTGGTAAGAGATTTGTAGGACTGAAAAGTTACCAGTCACCTAAGGATCATGCCCTAAATTGTCAATATAGGCTTAGCATCATAAAATCCTTGGTGTTGTTCGAATTGTTGTTGCAGTAGTTAACGGTTGCAGGTAGGCTGCAATACTTATTTAGTCACTGGTATATTAAACAACTACCAGCAGTGCCCTGAAGTTTTATGAAGTGCTTTTTTTTTAATCCTTTCTTGTATAAACACATGTTAAGAAAATAAAAATAGATGTTGCCTTTTTTTCCTAGAGATTTTCAAACGTGAATAGACAGCCGCATAATCCACTTTAATCTGTTGTTGTACTTCGCTACCTTAAAACAAATACGTATCTGGTTCATTCGACGGTTTTAAAAGTGCAGCATTTGACATTGTTCCTTCATTTCTGAGGGAATCTCAGAGCCGGGTGTCATTTCTGCAAGGCTACCGTAATTCCCAGCTTCCCACGGAATAGACCACTCTCCTCCCTGCCAGATAACAGAACTAGTCAGAGGGATGAGCCCGATCCTGCGAACCCTCCACCAAGCCAGCAGCCTCCCGCACACGGAGGGTCCCGCGGCCGTGCCGTCCCGCCGCACCCTGCGGCCTCTCGCGGGAGCGAGATTTTTGCACGCAAGGAAAAGTTTGAAGCGTCGGGACCAGAGGAGGTTTCCCGCACACGAGGGGGTCCGCTCCCACGTCCTCACCGCCGTTACGCCGCCCGTACGTTAGAAATCAGCCCCTCGCTCGGGGTGAGACGCCTCACGCGTGACCGCAGAGATGCACCTATTTTAAGCGAAATTGCCGCTGCGGAAAAACTGGGATTGCTTTTATCAGACTGCAGCAGGTCCGAGCGATAACCTGGAGTGCAAACAAAACCTGGGGATGCAGCAGCACCATCTACTTAGTTTAATGAGCAAAGAAACAGCAACTTTTTAGTGATGCAGTGTTGCTGCATTTCTTTGCTAAAGAGCCACGAGTTGCTCGATTTTATTTTACTTCCCATCAAACAACCTTTAGCTTACGATCTTAAGGGCATCCAAATATTCAGTTTCAAATTTCAATATAGTAGCTATTTAAAAAATAGCTTAAAAATAGTAAAAAGTTTAAAACTCAGTAAGAACTATATTTTTTTAAAGAAATTACAAATTTCCTTAACTAATGTGTTTTACATGAGGTCTAATCAAAGGTTTTTTAGTCAATTTAATCAAACATCACCATTAATAAGATGATGATGTACCCTATTTGTAATATAACAAATTCTGCCCAGCTAAACTACCAATTCTAAAACTGAAGGGTGTACAAATAATTCCTGCAAAATTCTAAGGAAGTTAACTTTCTGGGAAAAATGTAAAATATATTTTAAAGTCAGTCTATAATTACAACGAAAATAAAAATATTTCTACATAGTTTTTTAAAGTGTAAAACGTTTTTGTAAATAGATTTGCTTTTGATAAAGATATCTGTAGCAGTAAGCTATACTTTTTATCATTAACAAACTACTGAATAATTTACAGAGAATAAAATATAATTTTTGATTCATAGCACTCGGTTGATTTTTGTCACAGATTATGTATCCAAATAACTGTATAACAGACGTAATGCCATGCAGGAATGAAGCAAATATTTTAAACGGAATTGTTGTTATTGACAAGTTACTGAGAGAGTGCAAAATTGGAAGACATTAAAATTTATGACCATGAAATCCTTTTTACAGTACCACTTGATATATCGTGCTTTAAATCAATACTTGTCAAGTCTTTTAGGTAACTGTATGATGGTGTCATTTTAGTCTTCTACAAAAGATTGCAAAAAGAGGGGAAACCTATAGTGTTTCATATTTATATCTAGCTTCTCAGCATGGAGCGCAGGACTTTCTATAATGACTAAGACAGCTGTTAAAGCTTATGGCAAGGTTTACTTAATTTTTTACATAAACATTCCTAAAACTGATGATGGTTTATATAGGCAACACACTGACTTTAACTCCACGGGTTCTAGTATTGTAAAAGATCTTTTCAGGTGTGTATGCATGGGCGTGTGGGTATATATATACATACATACATATATATATATATATATATACTGCTCCTCAATAGAAAAAATAATAAAATCCCTTCAACATATAAAAGATCTACTAATTTGGCTAAGTTACATTTGAAAACATTTGATTTTATATAAACACACTCACTGAAGGAAAAAGCTGCTTTTAAGATAAGTGGAAAAGAAAACTTGGTTACAATAAGCAACGAGGGCTGCAATAGTAACTAAATAGCTGATAAATTCTTCGTTATATTATTTCGCTTGTTTAATCCTGAGTGAACACATTGGATTGCATTAAGGCCAATTCTACCGGTCTAAATCTGAATATGGGGAAAATCTAAGGAGGTATAACTTTGCTGAATATTCTGGATTTGCATTAGTTTTGAGGGTGCTGAATTTGGCCCTATGCATGCAAATAAGTGTGTGTTCTCCAGCTAAGAGAGCAATTTGGAAGCCTCAGCTCGTTTTAATCCTGTTGATTTCAATGATTTTGATTCTTTGTGAAAAAATAGCAGGAAGGTATCTTAAATATTTAAAAATAACAAGAATCGCGTGTTTTGAACTTGTTGTTAAGACGGCATTTCAGTATTTTACTCTCACGTTATCGGAGCACTGTCAATGATATACAGAATTCCACTTTATACAAGATCATGGATTAAGCTAAGACCCATTCGTAATCTTCTGTGATCAATATTAAATTGGAAATGTTAAAATGTTTCATTTATATAGTTTTGGAATGAAATATTTTTGCTTTCAGTTTTGAAATGACATTTTATTTTAATCAAAGCCAGCAAGAAAGATTATAAAAAACATTCAATAAACTGAAAGCAAAAAATCCAAAAGAACAAGTGAAACAGTTTGGATCAATCTCAAGTATTTTTTTTCTCTTTTACCAAAAATATGAAAAATGCTTTTTTGTTCTGACTTGAACAGATTTTTTTAATGTTTGGTTTTGTCTTATTTTGGCCATCAAATCAGAAAAGTCAGTATTGACCTGTGTCTAATCATGGCTGGACTGGTTGTCAGGATGTTTGCTAGATTTTGGAAATGTGTTGATGATCATTGCGGTAAAGGCAGGAGGCAAAAAGCAGGAGCTGTGAGTTCACCTTAATGAAGTCTGTACCTTTCACAGATCTTTACTTCTCGTATGGAAAGGCAAGACACCTCTATGGCCGAGTTAGAAATTCACTTTATGCCCTAAATTGCCACTTATGACCTTTCATTTGTCTCTTATCTGGACCCTACCCTGATGTCAGGCAACTTCCACCGTACAGTCAGTGGACTCCAAACCACCATTAGTGTTGTTTATGCTGAGCGTTTCTAAATTTCTTAACTTGGTAGCCTAAGTTAAGTATTTAAATACAGGGTGAGCATTCAAAAAGGGTGCTCTCAAAGGTGCTAAGCATCTGCAACTCCACCTTCTGTCAACAGGAGGTTCAGATGCTTAAGTTTTTCAAAAATCAAGCCTTTCCTGAGGCTAGGAAATATTGATGGAGATTAGGTAGCCATCAGCAGGTGCTACCATTCAGGAGATCTATTATTTTCCCAACTTCAATCGCAGGCAAATGAAGGCTGGAAGTCCGCATGGACGTGGACAATGTAGTCATGAGGAGCTAACTGTTTTGCCTCCGAAAAAAGGTCTGGTTTTGCCAATGTAGAAGCTCAGCAGACAGTAAGGCAGAGTTTGTGCTGAAGAGCATCGATGGCTATTCTTTCACTGGCACGTCAGGATCACTTAAAAGAATGCTTGTTTTGTTAGATTTGGTGCTTTAAGGTATCTTATACCACTAACTGTAAAAATATAGTTTGCTAGATGGCGTCACTAGGACCAATGCCTTTGGTAGCAAAAACCTACGAGAGATGCTACTACCGTACGTACATCCTGAATGACGGTCAGAGGCAAATAACGTAAAATGTTTGTCCTATATGCTAGCGTTCTCTAATGCGTATGTCAAACGGCTGATTTCTACTGCAAAACCCCAATCTTTGGTGGCTGCGCTGTCCCATCGGGGTGTCCGAGTGATCTGGTACACCGGTCACAGGGTAACAGGCTGCATTACAGGACTCTGGGGCAAGGCGCCCGCTGCTCTTGCTGGCTGCCAATGCCCGTAGGTGTCACCAGCACTTACTGGGAGGGCAGCCAGGAGATGAAAAACAAATCAAAGAAAATAATAAGAAAATAACTTTCCCCTAGTAATTAGCATACGAGATTTGCTTCCCAACTCCCTTCTCCTAAAAGAGTATTTTTTACCAACAAAAAAACAGGAGAAAGGGATCCAAATGTTTTAAGAATCAATTGTAGAGCGGCCATCGCAGAGTACAGTATCGTCTTTCCCGCGCTCTGTGATGGGAGGAATCACTGCACAGCCTCCACTCCAACTCCTCTTCAAAAACAGTCACACGCTTCATGGGATTTGGTTTTAAAAAGCAGCCTGTGACTTTTTAGGCAAAATTTCCAGCCACAATTTTTAAGGTGCTAATAAACATAGAAGACCTTGGTATCACTGAGTTTTTCAATAAATGACCTGAAATAAAACCCAAGTTATTTGTCTAAGTGATAGTAAATGTAGCAATATATTTAAACTGAAGAAGCTGTGCATTATTTTGAGACATCGCAGAAAGCCATACCAGTGAATCCCATTGAGGCACCTTCTCTTGATTGCCTGCGGAGCCCATCTTCATCTCGGAAATCGATGTAAACAAGGTCTATTGCTTGAAGGCCAAACGCCTTTGCTGTAACTATTATTTTTTGCCTGGCATATAAAATATCGTGAGTTTCCTTACTGCTTGTTGCACCTATGAAAACAATGAAAACAAAGAAAAGCTGACAAGAGTGTTTGAAACCTTTCTATTTTAAATATTTCCTATGTAAAAAAAGGAAAGTCTCAGATTTCATTTAACCAATTTAGAAAACAAAAGAGGGGTGCAAGACTATATGGTCAAAATAATACTCTTACGAGGAAAAAAAAAAGCATTAGCAAAAAAAAGAAGTCTCTTTACAAACTAGCTTATAAAATTCAGATTTTGATTCAGTTCAAATCAGAAGTTGTAAGCCTGAAGTCAGTGGAAGTTTTGGCTGGTAAGGACTGCGGAGATGGGACTAACATGAAGTAATGATTTGATTATATTATTTACTGCACATACAGTGAGAAGCATTACAGCAAGAGAAGCTTTATACAAATCGATACACTGGGTACAACTAAATGGTTAAAAAATTCACACTGAGAATAGAATTGCACTTTCCTTGGCTGTGATGCTTGTCACAACTGATGTTCTAAGCTGAATATTTAAGCTTCAGTATTTGAATGAAAAATGATGGTAGATGACTTCCGAGAAGAAGCAAAAGTATTCACGAGACTTCATGTGCTCACAGGGCACCAGCTAAGCAATATGCTCACATGAAGGCTGGTGTGAAAAAAATAATTAAAAATATTCCTTTTCCTCTAGGGACACTATTTAGACACAGATTTCCAATTTTAGTAAAGCAATGTTAATTTTTACATTAACGTACCTATTTTTAATTTAAATGTTGATAACTCTGAACTATCATCTTTAAACTGAATCAGATTACTAAGAAGCTAAGTGGCCTTTCATAAAAGGTATTTGGAAATACTTTTTTATTTTTGAGGAAGACTAATAGTGCTTTCACATGAATACATGGCTGTATTGACATGGGATATATTTAAAGTAAATTTATGACAGGAAAATGTAGCTGGCGAGTATTTGCGTGATGTCAAAAGCCTGACAGATAATTGTCTGTAAGACGGTGGCGAAGCAGACACCAGAATTTTAGGACTCTAAATGTAGTTCTTAAAAGCATGTGCATGTTTCTTATGGATATCAAAGTTTGATATAATTTCAGTGACTCAACAGGTTTGTTTTTTTTTTTTCATTAATTTTTGGCACTGCATGGCAAGAAGCACGAGCAAGTGCCAGTGTCCTGTAACACACAGGGACCACATTTTAATTTCCTAGTGATACATTCTGCATAGAAAAAGATTAAGGTGAAAAGTGAAAATGTAAAATGCAGAATCAAGCATTGTCATTACTTTATTTATTGCTGTTGGAAAAGCAATGGCCACAAATCACATTGGGCTTCTCTGATGCAAACGTCATACGCTAACATTTATAGTAAAGAGACAGGTAACGACCTATGCTGGCACGGAAATCCTCTCCTCCAAAGACGACTGCGTCCAAATGAAAGCCAACCTGGGATCCTGTTCTCAGTGCTTCTTCACAGACAGCCTTCAAATGAGAACAGAGTATTAATTTCTACAGAAATGCAGGACAGACAGAGACTAAGAGGATATTACAACAACTCAGTGTTACCAAAATCCTTCAGCTAAAATTGCTCCTATTAAGCAAAGGCATTGTAGGTGCTCGACTATCCACAGTGCCTTAAAATGACTCAGCAAAAGAGAAAACATTCTAGGCACCTATATGCTTAGACTGTGTAAATCATAGCAGATCATAGATACCGTAGCAGATTCCCTACCTTTTGGTCGACTTAATGCCCTGGGTATTACTGTGATCGGTACTTCAGATATTTATGTAACAATAGGAAACAAAACATTTGTCAAATACTGCTTAAAAGCAAACAAAAACTATTACATTTGATTAGTTTGACATGTAATATATCTGCATGAGAAATAGAAATAAATCAAGATCAGAATCTCTTTTATTAAATAAATAATAAGAATTATTTAAAATGGTTGTGGATTCCTTATAGGATATAAGAATTCCTTACAGGATTGCCAATTTAAAAACTTCTGCTATATATAACTAAAAAGTAGCTAAGGATGTTAAAAATGCAACAAGTGATGCAGAAAAATATTAAAATAAAAGCAAGCAAGATTTTGCTGCTCTAGCTATCCCATAAAGAAGTGCATTTCCAAAATATTACTATTTTATATCCTTTTAGATAATACTAGTATTTTTTAAGGCTAAGGTATGTGGAGTGAGACAGATGTAACTACGAGCTCTACTAGTGGGTGTTCTCCTATGGCAGGTGATGAGACAAGAAATTATTCTTTAACAGAGTGCTTTAAAAGGGAACTCTCCTGCCAACATCAGGAACTGCAATATTAAAAATTCCATTATAAAATACTGTGGGTGAAGAAAAATCTCAGCTGGCTTAAAATATGATTTAATTTTGGGTATGCACAGCAGACAGGAGCGTGTCTATTTGGTTACTGCTTTATTACGTTCCCAGATACGTTAGCGTGTGTTGCAAGATAAATGGCTATATCAAATGAGCAGGCTGCCTGTGAAGCCTGCCGGTACTTCTGGAGGTACTTCTGATGTGTGTGTCCTCAGCAGGTCCGAAACTTTTCCCTTAGAGCTTGGGAGGGGAACGCTGAATTCCTGGTGCATGCACGAGATCTTCCGTTTCGTTACCACACTGCCTTGCCTTTCTGAAAAACCTGAACTTGATAGTAAAGGTTGGGGAGTAATTTGTATTAAAATGCACTTTAAAAATAAGATTTGATCTAAAATTACCCTAAAAAAGGAGCATGTTTTTCAGTTATTTGCTATTTTCAAAGTTAGTTATACTTCTAATCTTAGCATTAAACACCCCATCATACACACAAAATGATAACATGAAATTTGATTGCAATGTTATTGGTAGAAACCATTATAAAGACGCCAGTTTAGCAATAGTGAAATTATGATTGATACTTTTTTCTAATTAAATGTTATAGAAAAGTCGAGTTCGATAGCTACTAAATAGCCAAGTGTATGGCAACACTGTGAGCATTTAAAATCTTTGGAGAAGCCCGTTTCTACTCCAAATGTGTTAAAAATGATAACAGTAATGCAGAAAGGTTTTGTTATTTGGCTATGTTATGGGCTATCCGGAACAGCTTTGTCACTGAAATATTTTGAAATTATGAAGGCCTTTACAATACAAACATGAGAGTCAAACGTACAAATGTTTTAGGGGATTGAACAATACGTTTAATATTTTTTAACTTCGCTTCCTTGATGAAATTAGGGGGAGACTGGGTAGCATTCTGCTTATCCTAGTTTGCCGAGATGGCGAAATATGAACACTTCAAGACCTGCTTACCTTAAAATTGAGCAAGCCCACTGCAGTTTCCACAAAAGGGATAAAGTTCATTGGTTCTACAAGTGTTCGGCCTTTTAGGTGATGTAAGAATTTATCTGAAAACTAAAACTAGACAGTATGAGCTATCAGAGAGAAAAAAAAAGAACAGTCCACATGTATATATAACACGTTAAATTTTCACCTGGCTGTAACAACATCCCTCCCCGCTCCCAAAACTTAGAAGTGAAAAAACCAGCTTTTAACAAGGCCTGTGATTTGAAACCGCAGCATTCCCATACATTTTTAAGTTTCCAGGCTGGTTTGCAAAAAAAAAAAAAAATATCCAGGCTTAGCACCTCTCACCCAGGCTTAGTGAAATGCAAATCCCCGGGCCCTGGAAAACAATGAAGTGCTGCTGTACCTGAGGTCCGGTTTTGTTTCAGGTCCAGCACTGCCATCACTGGAAGTGCTCCCCAGCCTTCTAAGTGGCATCCGTATTATTCATTACGGCACCGTTACCCTTTTGTTCAATAGGCTTTTCTTCATAATTTTTTAGCTTACCTAGGAAGGCCTTAAAAAGGAAGTTTAATTCTTTGAAGACCAAAGCTTGCCAATTTTTTCCATGAGACCAGTTCACAGCTAGCTCTGAGCTGCCAGTGGGGTAGCCCAAATTCCAAAATCTATCATCTGGAAACATACAAAAGCTCTTGCACAGATTTTTCCCCTTTCAAAAGGGAAAAAAAAAAAGGGGGGGAAAAAGCCCTTAGCCTATATTGTAAATCTATTATGTCTGTCCAGATCGAGTAATTTGTGCAGAGATAAACGTATCGCAGGTATGGCGAAAATATATTAGTAAATAAAGACAAAAATAACATATGCATATATTTTAAATTTAAGGAATATTCGACTATTAATGGATATCAAAGGAAAGGGAATTTTAATCATCTCTCCATTCAGTCTCAGTTGGGTAAATCATATCTAAGAGATTTGCATAAATATAAACCATCAAAGACTTTTCATCTTCAAAGGGGGTTTCAAGACCCTATAAGCTTTGTACTGTAATCATCGCAGGTCACAACCCTGCAGGAATAAGGCTGCTATGGCAACATAAAAAACTAATGCTTAAGGCTTAGCATAATATTCTGACTAATAGAAAGGAAACTCATTTTAAAAGCTGGCAGCCTATTTACCAGAAGCTGGATTAGAGGTGTTATTTCCCCTTTTAGCCTCCCCCCACTGCCCCTCCCCAAAAGAAGGAAAATCTAATCACCCAGATCTCGAAAAAAAGCTTTCCAGCAATTTGCAGTAACTTTACAATTAGGCCAAAATAAACCACAGCTTTCTTCGGTGAAGAATTCTGCCCTTCCCATCCCTGCTTTGCATCGTCACTGTGGCCCTCTCCATAACTTTTCTTTGGAGAAGAGTATTCCACCCAAAAATGTGGAAGGGAAAAAAAAATCAATGCAGTTCACATGTGCAAGTGTACAGTATGGCAGGTACTACAGTGACAGAACAGAGTAAATTTCATATAGGCAAATGCAGAAAATGAGGTAATATAATGGCATCAGCGTATATTCTTAAGACTCCTATCTGATTTTTATTTTTCAAGTGAAAAAAAGTAAAAAGTGCTACCTTGTTTATATTTTAGATGCAAGTTAAAGCAGCAGAGCTCTTCTTTTATGTTAAAATATTTTAAAAGTCACACTCCTAGGATGTTTGCTATCTTTTGTTTTGAAGGCAAAGAAAAAAAAAGAGGCATGTTTAATTAAATAGTGTCTCCCTTCCTCTCCCTTTTAAAAAATTTGCAATAAGCACCGACACAAAAGGTAACGAGTGGAGAAGTTTCAATTAATTTTTTTTTTTTCTCAAAAGGAGACGATTAAATGTTTCCGGCCCGGTAAAGTGTTCATTTCAGGGAGAAAGGGGGGAAAAAAAAAAAAAAAAAAAGAAGGCGGAGGAAAAAAAAACCCACAAAGCTTGGGGAGGGGATGAAGTAGCAAGGCCTCAGCAATTCTTTCAATTCCAGTGCACACCCAATAGTGTGTCGGGAAGAATGCACACTGGTCGGGATTTGTGGGAGAATTGTCCCGCCACAAAGGAGGGAGAGTTACGCTTGTTATAGTCCAATAAGCCATGCCAGTCAAACAAGTACCCACACTAGGGACAAAAGGAAAGCAAGAGATTCTCACACAAAAGAAAACAAGTAAGCCCATCTTTTAGTTGTGCATCAGCCTCCAGGTTTTCTGCTGCACATAAATAAAAATGAAGGGAGGGGGCTGCGGGGGGGTAGTGGTGGTGGTGGGGGAAATAAACAGCTTCTGGGAGGCTGAAAAATCACGCCGGAGTGAGTTTGGGGAGGCTTGGAAAAAGAAGGCAGCGGCACTGAGGGGAGCGTGCTCTTTGTGTGCAAAGGTTGGGCAAAGTGAGAGGGAAGCCAAAGGCCAGAGTTGTTGGGGCTGGCTCATTTGCCGTGACGGAAATCAAAGTTAGCGAGAGGGAAGGTGGAAGGGGGATGAGGAGACAAAGAGTCCCCGCATCACACCTCGCCGCAAAACCTGCTTGGTGGCAGCAAGGGCCCTGCCATTTTGGAAGCATGAATATTCATTACTGACGAGTTACGTCTAACACTTACACGGCTGTGAGCCCTGAGAGGTATACTCCGGTTAATTTAATTAAATGTCGGTGGAAGGCGACGGAGGACTTTCCGTCGCGAGCGGCGGGGGCCGAAGGGGGAGTGCGGGGCTTGTCGCGTAGCCGACGCATTCGCTCGGTTGTACGCTCGCGCCTGATCTTAACGGTTTGATCAAGGTTAGATGCTGAGATTAAAATAGATCCTAATACGTCTGCCTGCCTTTCATCACAGCTTGCACGCGGGCCAGTTGCTCGGCTAGCAAAAATATAGGAGTGAATAATTAAGCATTATTCCTTTACTGGCATGTTGGCTTGTCGCGTAGCCGACGCATTCGCTCGGTTGTACGCTCGCGCCTGATCTTAACGGTTTGATCAAGGTTAGATGCTGAGATTAAAATAGATCCTAATACGTCTGCCTGCCTTTCATCACAGCTTGCACGCGGGCCAGTTGCTCGGCTAGCAAAAATATAGGAGTGAATAATTAAGCATTATTCCTTTACTGGCATGTTACAGAAATAATGGTGTATCTAAACAAGCGTCCCCCTTTTCTTGACAATTAAAACAATTACAGCATCATTAGCCCTATTTCAAAGTTTTCTTAAGTAATTCGACATGCCAACCATTTACATTTCAGGTTTTTATTGGCTGAAAAGTCAGTCGTGAAACACAAACACACCTGTCAGCAATTAAAAAGGAAGAAATAGAGAACTGTTCAGGAAATAATATCTGTGCTAATTAAAAACACTAGTTAAAAGCTTCCTGTTTGTTCCTTCAGTTGCCCCAAGGAATGACCTTCCCCCAACTCATTTTTTCGCATGTCGCTAACATGGTTTCTCCATGTCCTGCTTACAATGCATGTTGCTAAGGCTCACGGACAGAGACAGTAATTTTGCTTGTTAGGATAGTTAGAAAAGAGTCAGATGCTTATGCTTCTATTTTTGATAATATACTCTGACATCAATATTAATTATTTATTGATTGTGGGAGAAATAAATCTGTTTTTCTTTATGAATGCAAGGTGTTCCACGTATGCTTTTTGTATAGACCATTTTGCACCCATGTAAATGGATGCACTTCCCAACAACATTCTATGGTATCTGCAGCCTTCCTCATAACTCAGAGTCATCTTTATGCCTGTGAACTTGGCACAACAGCTTCAGTCAAAAGCTGCCGTGTTGTTTGTACTCACCCATCTGATTTCTTCAACATTTTCAACCTTTGGCAGCATCATGCTTGAAGGAAGGGTCTTGGACTGCAAAAGTACCTCTAGATCTTCTTCTGCAAGACCGCTGGACACAGAGTTTATCCTAACGCACTTTTCGGCATGGCCAAAGTCAAATTCGTCAAGGGTTTTCACAGCTGTCAGTCTTGCTTCTCCCTATGATATATATGTATTTAAAAGCACAAGAAAAGGAAAGAAAGCTTATTTTCTATTGACAAAAAAGTGCACTGAGCAGAAAACTTGTTGAAATGACGTGGGGAAAAAGCTAGATAGCCAATGTATTGGTGTCCCCGAAATGTCTGTCACTCCTGGACTTTTATTGAAGCAGGCATCATCAGCACCTCACAATTTTACTTTCCTCATTTCTTTATAACTAGTAAATCAAACGCTCAGGTTTTATGTCTACGTATTTCTACACCACCACTTGTAGAAAACTTAACTTTTGTGTCCACTATGACTGAACATGTCGAACAAATACAAATCTTTATACTAATCACTATGCATTGCACTAGCCAGCTGCACTCACAAAAATGGCATGTTAATACAGATGCATAAAACAATTTTTCTAATTCAGCTCTATATTGCCTGTCCTAAAACAGCATGGATGTCAGTAAGCACAGAGGTACACACACTCTTTTGGTTTTGCTATATCAATGGCAAATCTCTATGTATCCAAAGTATATTAAAGTCCATAGTAGAGTTCACAACTCGCACGTGAAAACAATGCCTAAATAACTTGTAGATTTTCCTTGAACCATGTAAAAAGCTTTTCTCCTGCCAGCATAAAACAAATATCCAAAGACACGTGCTTCCCGCTGCCGTTCACTATTTTCGTGAGTGTAAATTGACAAATCTGTTTAATATTTGATTTGCATGAAGAATACTTGCATGCTTTTCTGAAATGAAATGCATTTCTTGACCTGGAGAAGAAGAGGGTGGGGGGGAAGGAGGGCGCTGGGCTCCCTGCTCCTGCCAACTGCAGTTTCAACCTCAAATTCCTTCCACTCGCCAACAGCCCCTAACAAATCTGCATTGTCAAAATGCACACTTATCAAAAGTCATTTCATTTGTGAAGAGTTTTTATGGGGCTAATAAAACTTTAAAGCTCCTGACTCGCGGAGGTTCAGGAACGACTTTAACGATATGCAGTTGCTGAATAGAGATGCTTTTCAAGAAAACAGGCGAACTCAGGGGGAAAAAAAGAAATCATCAAAGTTAATATCCAGGCTACTACCAATCAGTGAGACAGCACATGACAGTAGATTTAAACCAGACGGATGCAAATCTCTGCCGGTGAGAGGGGCAGAGGCGGTTTCCCAATATGGTCTGAGTTAAACAGTGTGAGGGAACAGTAGCTTACAGTTGTCAGGTCCCATCAGAACAGGGTCTCCCAGGCCAGTTTAAGACAGCTCTGCAGCGTGCTGATCTGCAGGGCTGGGACCCCCGATAATTAGGGTAAGTTTAGAGAAAAGCAACTGATGGCTCTAACCGGTTAAAAGGAAGGAATAATGAAGCAGAAAGTTAATGAAATCTGAAGCAAGCAGCCTTCAGCTCGGGGCTACTAGCCGTGCTTCTCCGAAGGCTGGGAGCATATGCCTGTTAATCGGACAGACGGGAACAAGGCGCACATGTCCGCATCCCTGTGCTGCGATCAAGGGGCGCGTTCAGAGGTAATCTCTGGGAAATACAGCCCGAAACGTTTGAACTGCTGTGAATGGACTCTGACTGGGGCCATTAGGAAAGCCACACAAAGATGCATGCAGTTTACTGCAAACACGTCCAGCTGGAAGACAGCTCCGGCGCACAGCCGTCTAAAATGGTTCTTCCGAATTAGGTAAACCGAACCATATGATGCCATTACTGGGTAATACAAATCCCCTATGTTTTCCTTCTCCAAGCAGGGGTAATGGGTTTCTAGGGCTGGGCCGAAAGTTGCTGGATATGATGCAGAAGGGTAGCTTAAAAACACGCTCCAAACCAATTTATGTTTTTAATTAAAGTCAGATTATCACCGTTTCAGTACACACTGATCCAATTTGCAAAAGAAAGATCTCCCCAAATTATCCACTAAGGCAGCATCCAGTTCAAACTGAAGGCACATCTCTAGCAAACCTACAGTCTAATTCATTATGATTTTTTTCAGATTGTAATAATGAGCGGTAGATCGTCTCAGTAGCTATTTTTCTCCTCAGGCTGCAAACTCCCTTCCCAAAAAAGACAGATCGTGTCTTTCTAGGTATATTTCCATACAAAACACTTATTAACAGGCTGTTGCTGTTATCAATTTACATAAACTAAATGTGCAGCCCTCTGGTACGTATCCCAAAAATAACTAACAACTTCACTGAATTTATACCAACCAACAAACATGGGGAGGGGGTTGTTGTTTTTTCCCATATTTTAACGGAAAATATGTTGCTATGTTAGTTAACACACCCATGCCATCTGTTGGGTTGAGAATTGATGCATTTGCTTAGAACCACTACATTTTAGATCTGTCTGCCTAGATACCCCAGGAATGGAAACATTTCTCTTCCATGATAAAACACTTCTAGTCACTATAGTTTCCACATCAGGACTCATTTTACGTTTTTGATTGTGGGCCAAACTGAGAGGACCTGTTGCCAAAGTCAGAGCTCATGAGGGATCTGACTTGGTGCCTACCTTTCCTACAACAGAGAAAATCCCACTGATGTTAGTGAAGTGTATCAGGTCCCCAGTCAGGCTTCCAATAAAACATTTCATGGGTAAATAAAAAAATGTACTAAAGCCTCTGACTAAATGTACTAAAACCATGGAGGAAAGGGAGACCCCTTTCTGCCTCATTATGTACAGAAACGTAGTTGCTATTCTTATTGTAGGATTCATGCGAAAAGCTAAAATATTAAGCTAAGTGAACTACTTTAAGACTGCGACGGCAGAGAAAAAAGCAGTCCATGATAGAATAAGGTCTTTATAGCAGTAGACACAAGAATAAACATATTTTCCAAACAGTATGCAAGTCCCTGCCAAGAATGGTCAAACTAAAATTTTTAAGGAACGGTGAAAGGAATGATTTTCCCTGTTCTTCACATCAGAACTACAACATCAGATAATACTCTGTCACAAATGAATAGCTGATAAAGAAATAAACTTGATCGTTAAGTAAATGATTCCATCCCCAGGTAGCTTGCAACAGTGGTATCCCCATTGGGTCCCATGTGGGTTGGGTTCTTCATCAAACTGAACAAGAGAGAAAGGCGACAGAGAGCTTCACGGTAAACAGCGATATTATTCAAATATGCTAAATTTGCAACTCATGCTGGAAAACCCACTGGGAAAAGAAACGATGGTCAGGGTGGCTACTTTAGCATCCCTTCTGTTTGACTCCGAGGAGGACACGGGAAGGTGTTCATTACCATGCGCAGCTACGCCAACTGGAGGAGATAAAGGATTCAGTGACACAGCATTGCCAACAAATCCACCGCCACCCAGACACACAGGCACTGAAATTAAAGACGGGAATACGCGTGTTGCCGGCTCGATTGGCACCCATTAAACCTAATAACTAACCATCCTCACGAGTTCCTAGCTCTGAATTATCAAATCTGCAAAGAAAACAACATCCGTCCACTTTTACACTCCAGTGGAAGAGGTGGTCCCTCGCGGCGGGGCTGCGCAGTCTCGCCATCTGGAGAATAAATCGAGTGTGAAGTACAGTATAGTTTGGGACCAAGCTCCGTGGCGGCAGCCCAGCAGTTAGTTCATTAGTCCCAAACTTGCGGGGATTAGTGCGGTATCAGCTCCACTGTCGGATGGGATCAGGCAGGCAGAGCGCGAGACTTGGGGAAGGGGGTGGCGGCGAAGAAGGAGCCCCTCGGGCTTGTTTATCAAACTGCACAGTATAAGTGCACCTAAATAGGTGCCTTTGGTAACAGTATTATCATAGTCTCCTACCAGCTGAATCAGTACCTTTCCTTCTTTCCTTATTTTCTTTTTTTTGAGTTATATGTCAAGACATAGAAATTTCCGCTTCAAAACAGAAGGAATGCCACAGAGCTGGAAGCTCAGCCACCCACTCACCCTGGACACAGTGTTAATACAGCAATAATGAAGCCAAGATGGTCAGACTGCAAGAGCAGACAGAAAAATGACATTTTCTTCTTTCTTTTCAAACTGGTACGATAACCCACAAACCAGTTTTCCAGCACCATGATTTCTACCTGTCTGATTTTGAGGACAAAATTTGTTTTGCTTTATCTTTCTTGCCTAGTCTTACTCCTTTTTTTTTTTCTCAAGACCTTCAGTTCTTAATGTAAAGATAGTGGGTATACTTAAAGATGTGTATATGTATAGATCTCATCCTGTTAACATCTTTTGGTGATAAATCTTCATATGGAAATGTAAATATATGATGCCCTAAAAAGGCAGGCCTCCTGAATCTATCATCCTCATTGCCGTAATAAGTTTGCATGTTTCAAATGGCAGAGGAAAAATTAATTACTATAATCACAATTCCAGTTATTTTTTGTGACAGGTCTGACACGGTAAAAACATACAATTATGTGTTAATGCTACTTCCCTGGAGCGGTTTGTTTACAGGACTTGACATTGCTGAATCTTTTGTCACTTATATCAGTGCATACCCTACGAATGCATCTCTCAAATGAGATTCTGTGAAAGCGCACGTATTATACATCCCCAGTCTTTTTTGGGCAAAACTGAGTTTCTGCAGAGGGAAAGCCTGGCATTTTTTACGTGCTTCGTCCCTGTCAGTGAAGTGATGTCATACAGCATGATACTTCATTTAGTTTCAACTTCACAAACAGGACTGGCAAGAGAAAAGGCAAATTACATTTGTTTTTAAGGAAACAAAGAGAACTGTAACTGCGGAGCGGAGCATTTCTGAGAGCAGGAAGTGCCTGGTTCATAAGACCCATCTTCTACCTTACATGCATCAGGTACTTGTGAGAATAAATCTTGGAAATGGCAAATACTTATTTCTAGTTAGTCCTGTCAGACTGCAAAACTGCTGTAAAATATGCATACAGCACAAAGCCTTCTGGAAGCTGTTATTAAATGATTTCTTTTAGTTACTTTTGAGCAGATAATCAGTGGAGGAGTTCTGAAAGACTTACGAAGTTTTAAAACACATTTTCTTTTGGTTCGACAGGGAA